TAGATGAAGGAAAGTTTCAATATTTGATGGAGTCCACAATTTATCCAAATGTCACAATAAATCAAGTTAACAAATAAAGTCAATTTTTTTAATTTTAAATAACATTACTCGTTTTTATTACTTGGACGGGGGTTTTGTGGTGATGATTTTCACATCATTTTTTTATCATGGTCTATGCCACAACATACAGCCTTTTCTAGGGTCTTAACTCGTGCGGATTATCTACATCTCATAATTTTATAGTCGTTCATTGCTCACATCATCAATTGCAATTGCAAGTTATGAATTTGTCACGCCCCAATTTTTATTAAAGTGTGATTTGATAAAAAAATAGTATTTACCCAAAAATCTGTTGTGGGTTTATAATAATAATTGAATGAAATAAAACATTTAGTTTTATCAAACATGTTTTTTTTTCAAAAATTTTGACAGATTTCCATTTGAAAATTGGGCTTTCAATCATTTAGTAAGAGCATTCATGTGAGAGCATAATATAATTCAAATTAACTAAATATCCACAACATGTCTCCATCAAAAATATAATCAAAAAAAAGTGGGGTGGCAATTAAAGTCCTACAAAGTCTTCTCAAATCCAGATACACCCAATACAAATACATACCAAAACTTAATACATAAAGTTATAACTTTACATTACAGTACCCAAAATAATAATCCCTCTATTCGATGATCAAGTGTACACCACAAATATTTCAAGACAAACTTTTCAAACATAATTTTTGTGTACCAACATTTCTATATAAGTTCTACAGGTAAGTACAAAAAGATTTCAAAAGAGATTCTTCCTAGTCCAAAGCTCCCACAAGCATTCTATCACCTACGTCCCAAGATGCATGCTAGTCTCTAAAAGTACTAGTAAGGATGAACAACCACAACTCAATAGGATAGTCATTTTTCCAAGCATTTACAAAGTTTTAAATACCAACTTTCTACAAAGCATACGAATAAGCAATGAAAGTTTTCTATAATTAAGTATAGGTACAAGATAATAAGCAGAGCATTTATAAAAAAAAACTCCTAATATATCATTATTAGAAGTATACAAGGTATAAATTAAAGGTTTATATATTTGAAGTCAAACCATTATAGTAGATATCATGCATGCCTTGCATACAGACAATATAATCAATCACACCAGTTCAAGCATGAACCATCCCGGGGAACCTTTTGGATCTTGCACCTTTGGATCTCATCGGCCTTCTTACTTTTCAAGGAGAATAGGTAGGGCACAACTTGTGATACTACATAAGCCATCACCAAAAATCACTACCATAACAAGTCCCCTTTAGAACTAGTAGCCGCCTTGGAAACCCATTCAACAGGGCTCAACTGCCTACTTACCCTTTGTCTATCAATATCGAGCATACAATTTTTAAAAATCATTATTTTCTATATTCATAAACCCTTTTGAAAACACGTCATAACCTTGACATTTTATCAAACACGTAGTAGGCTCAAAATCTCAAAATTTTCATTTTCAAAGCAACACAATTATTTCCAAGAGAATAAGTCATATATATTATGTACAAGGTTATAGCATACTCCAAAACTTCCAAATCATTGATTTAATTAAATACTCATAATTAAAATCAAACTAGAGTTTCAAACCTACAACACTAAAATTATTTTTATTTATGTAGATTCACAATTTATGGCATACTCAACACTAAATCAAGATTTATAACAAGTATTTTCTCATCAAACACATAGTAAACTTTAGTTGAAAAAATAAATGAGATGCACAATATAAATGGAGGAGAGAGAAAAACTCAACTAAGAATCAAGAATTTCAAGCCAAGTTCCTAGGATTCTCAAGCAAAAACCAAGTTTTAGAGACCTTCTTCTTCCCTTCTCTCTTCCCTTTATCTTGTGCTATGATTCTAAGAGGTATTGAGTGAGAATTGAATGAAATAATGGGAGAAATGGAGCTAAAAATGGGGTTTTAAACTCAACAAATCCCAAAATTTACTGTTCATTAGGGCTTAAAAATGTATTTTTCTCTAAAATTACGATTTTGCTACTAAACATCTTCAACTTGATTCATATGACTACTCTAAAATTTTTTGCGTTTTGGGTTCATTTTTAATGTTATTTAATCACAAAACATTTAGTTTTATGATTTATCTCAAAATCAAAATCAATTTACACCCAAAATAATAAAGTTACTATTTTACCTTCCGAAACACTATGAGTTAAACCTCTATTCCAAAATTTTTGGACCTCCCGAATTCAATAATAATATTATTTTGACCTAAAAAATTAGTAAACTTAATTAGTTACCTTTATCAACCTTAAACAGTTCTAAAATTAAATTTGATCTAAAAATTAATACGCCTGTAACTCAAACTTACGTGACTATTCCTTTAACATCGATTCGAAATTTTTCTCATTATTTTAATTATTTTAAAAATACTAGCAAGTAATATCATCTATATTTATATGAAACATGAGATCTCATTCTGAAAGAATTTGCACTTCTCTACCTAATGCCCCTGTTGTTTGTGTCGAGACCCACCGAAAAAGCTTTATAATCATAGTAATTGTGCCCCATACAAAGCGTGTTTTTTTTAATATATGTGTGAGTTATTGTGGTTAAAAAATTAAAATTTAAGTTATTACGGTTAAAAGTTAAAATTAAAGTGAGTTATCGTGATCAAAAAATTAAAATTTTAAATTTAATTGAGTTACCATGATTAAAAAATAAAAATATTAAATTATAATATAAATCGATAGATCTAAACGATTTGAACCGTTATTGTGTTTTTTTAACCGAAGAACTTAAGCAACTTGGGTACAAAGCACTTTTTTTTTACTATATGGGTAAAGTTATTGTGGCTAAAAAATTAAAATTTAAGTGAATTACTATAATTAAAAGTTTAAAAGTTAAAATTTAAGAAAGTTACTATAGTTAAAAAATTAAAAGTTAAAATTTAAATGAGCTATTGTGGATAAAAAAAATTTAAATAAATTACCGTGATTAAAAAATTAAATCGTAATTTAAATTGATAGGTCTAAATGATCTGAACAAGAAACTTTATTTTATTATTATAGATAGTGCGCAAGACTACCTCTTTCATTTTCCGTATTACTAAAAACAACATTAGATAACGAATTGACTTCAGCCTTGTTGGTCATTTGTAGTCAGTAACAGAATAGGGAAGATAAAATTAATCGTGGCGGCGGAAACCCTACGCTAGTTTTTGGAAATTAATCAGTATACTTGTTTTTGGAATCAAGTTTCATCCAAACTACCTCTTTGTTTTCCATCGTGAAGTTTGTTTTTTTCATTTTTCGTCAACAAAATGCAGTTTGTTGAAGAAAATCACAAAACTGCTCAGCAATTTCATAAAAAAGAATTCTTAAAGCTAACCAAATACATGCATAAAAATATATATTTCTTTCATTTTATTTCTTTCACTTCACTTTCTATCATTTAGTTTCTATCATTATTTTCTTCCTAACCAAACGAACCCTAAGATAAAAACACAAGAGACAAACAAAATTATGACCCCACTTGATTCAGGCCTTAGAATAGAATAAATGCAAAACCTTGAGAGTTAATTTACTATAGAACAATTAGCTGTTAAAAACACATACAGTGGACAAATGTAAATAAAATATCCAAAGGTAATCAACAAAGCCCTAGACAAGTTGTTTACCATAGGACAATGAATTCCACAAGTCTAATTCAGACAAATAATAGCACTAAATATGCAAACTATCCCTCAGATGAAAGAATTGGCCACACTAGCGACTGAGAAAACTAACTGTTTTGAATTTTGAGATTCGTCATTCAATTCAGGTTTTTCAGAATGTTTCCAGCCCTGTATAATACCACATACTAATAAATTCAAGGAATAGGATTTGGGAACAAGAGCCAACAAAAACGAGGGCACACAAGGACAAATCGCACCCAGACACCACACAACCTTCCAAGTATTACAAATTGCACCAAGACACCACACAACCTTTCAAGCATTAAAAATCGGTGAACAAACTGTACAGGAAGTCGTCAAGCATCAGCAAAACAAAATTCAGAAGAGAAAATAATAGTTAAGAAATAGAGCTGCGTACAGAGAAAAAGATAGAATGGAAGAAAAGTAGAAAAGCAGCAAGAAGAGGAGAAGGGGAGAGAGAGAACGGGAAGCAGCCAACATGAGGTTTTTTCCCAAAACAATCCTGCCACCTGCGGCGAATAATGAAACTACTTATAACAAACAAACCCTGGATCTCAATCCTTTATTCCCCCTAGCTTAGGTGTCACAATCTTATTTAATCTAATTCCACATCATCTAAATAATCATATGCTAAGCATGTAACAATTTAAATGCATAAAATAACAATCAAATTACCATATAAAATAGAATTCCTAAAAACTAAGCTGTGGACCGTTGCTTCTTGCTTTCGAGCCGGATCTTATTGTTGGGCAGTGAAGTGGTCCATGAGGGTTGAACATATTTTAAGCAAGCAAAGTAGTAAAGTCAAAGAGGGCAAAAAGCAATTTTCATTTGATTGATCGAACAATCGTACTGGTGAATTGGCTTTCATAAAGCACCTTTGGGCAACAGCTACTATTGGGATCTAATTCCAAAATATCGACAATGAACCATTCAAACAATGATTTTATCTGCAATCTCTCTTGACGCAATAAAATGACATTTGAGGTTTTCTCAGAAACATTCTGAGTCCAACAATTAAACCCATCAAGTGTATGTATTTTAAGGTTACACAATAAAATCTTTCATCAACTATCTTTATTGCTTAAAGCCAATTCACACCATGAATTAAAACAACACTATAAAACCATGTCAGGCAATTCGATTATAAGAAAAGACATTGTCAAACAATGTTCACTGGATGAAACGAAGAATCCAAACATACATTTCTGTACAGGTCTGGATAAATGGTACACAAGTTTGAGAAACACCAGATAATATGTAATTAGTGTACATACAGCTGGGCATTGACCGGCACCAAAAGCTTTAATAGCAACAAGAAGCACTAGTTGCATTCTCTGCTGGTCTATCCATAAGTACCATCCCCGATGGGTTTGGCACTGGCTGCACACGAGGCAGTCTCTTTGCTGTACGGAAACAGAGAGAATCGGACCAAAAGTTAATGTCTTTGCTATGCCTTGAATATAAAAATGGTTTGTCAATAAAAAAATAATTTATATTCATGAAGATACGTTTTTTGGGTACAGGGATTTGTTGCTTAGTGTCTACTTGATTCTATTGTATGGAAAGACAAGATTGCCATAAAAAGGTCTTGAGCAGTCTTTCCTGCCTTTAGGAATTTGTCCACGTGGCCTCTACCATTGAGCATACTCTCTATTTTGAATATCTTAGACATATAATATGAGGCACATCAATATACAAGAACAAAACATCTGTGTTTTTGCATGTATATGCAAAGATAGGTTGGCATCCATTCACCACAACTACTAATACAGGGAATAAATAGTAAACAAGCCTTTGAGATGTGTTCCATCGAAGGCAAGGATTAAAATTTCATTTCAAATCGGTCAAAATGATTATGTTTCTAAGGAGACCGAAACAAATCTAAGATGGAATCGATTCAATCAAAATTTTAATATTTTGAGGAGTTTCATAAAACTTCGAGGTATTTTGTAATGTTTCAACACATTTACGCAATTGTTTCAAAATGTTTCATGGTATTTCGAGATGCTTTGGCATATTTCGACTAATATTTTAGAAAAATAATTCTCAAATTTTTTATTTATTTACATTCTATTTTCGAAACAAATCGAAACGTTTATGTTTCCTATATGACCGAAACAATTGACCAATACAAAATTTTGATCATTGACCGTAGGGCATGTTACTAGTGTAGAAGCTACCAAGCAATACAAGGTGAAAAGTTCAGCTAACAGAAAGCATACCTATTTCGTAGAAAATGTCATTGACATTGGTTGCAGCTTTTGCCGAGGTTTCAATAAAGAAAAGGCCATTCTCTTGTGCATATACTTGTGCTTCCTACAACAAAAATGACAATCATATAAGTAAACACATGATTAGGAACATAAAGCATGTAGATGAAATTATTCTCTCATTTGTTTCTTTTAATTTTTCTGGAGGAAGTAGAGAAAGGGGTATATGGATAGTAAATGCCTATTTAAAATCACAAAAATTAATACTTGGTGAATGCCCAAGATAAAATAAACACAACATTAACATGAAATTCATTTCTCAAGGTTTATCTCACTTGCGCGACCAGCAACGGGGTCTATTAATGGCCCATATCACTTAAAGTTTCAACCCCAAATTGTAATTCAAACCCTAAATCAACTTATGACCCATGTAATCCCAAGTCATAACTCTAATCCCAAGTTGTAACTCTGACTTTTTATTTCTAAAGTTTGGTGATATTTAAACCCATATTTTTGTTCCAATGTGACTTAGATTTTTTTATAATACAAATATGCAACCATTATTTTTTATTATTTACCTTCATTTTTCCGTACGTTGTCTTGAAATATGATTCGTTTTGGATCTCTTACCGGAAATATAAACAATATTAGTTATTTTTGTGTATATGGAGGTAAAATAATACATATAATGGTGAAAAGATCTGCATAATAGTTACAAAACGATCCACAACCCAAAACAATGTACCACTAAATCTACTCTCATCGCACTGCATATCAAAAAAAGTATCGTATCACATACCCGCATCTGCTCTCCATACCAAATCAATCCACGATTCTGGTAATATTGACCTCAATTCTCTAAAAATGTTATATGTAATGTAGGTATGTCGCACTTATCATACTTGTTGCCTCGTCTTTATTGTATTTCTCATGCTCAAGACGCCTCTATGGCTTGTACAATTAGGTCTAGCTCTCATCCATTCTTGAGTTTTTGGTTTTACAGAAATCTAAAAAACAAAGAAACTTTTGACTTGGCTTCACTTCTTTTTGTGCTAAATGAATATAAAAGGTGGGATGATGATCCTTCAGGCATTTTCGCTTTTGAGTCTTTCTTTTAAACTTTGATTGGTGATCACTCACGACAACTCTTTCCAACATTTTTTATGATTTAGAAGATCAAAGTTTCTATAAGGTACAAGTTGTGCATAGACAATTAGTCATGATATAATTAATACCAATGACATGCATCAAATGAAAAGATCAAATGCTTGTCTTTCTCCATAGTGGTGTGCGCTGATGTGATTGCGACTTGTGAGAGTATTGATCATCTACCTTTGGAGTTGTGCAATTCTTTTGACTATTAGGTCAATTGGTTGGAAAGAAAATCAAGAATATTTGAAGATAGGTGCGCGGTTATGGAAGCCTACGTGATAATCCTCTCTTTTGCATTTTGACAGTGGCCTGCCTCGTGAGACCTCTAGTTTGGTCCTGATTTTTCTTATGGTCTTCTACATCTCGTTTTTGTTCGAGTTTTGGTTGGACAACTTATCCAGCTAGTTCCTTATCTTATGTATTGCTTCTTTTAATAATAGTTTCTTGTAGATATAATGGGCACATCAGAATTTTCTTTTCTTTTTCACACCACCATCAGTATTTCAAATTACCATATCTCGTCACTCCGTAGATACCTCATTATCCAACAAATAAAATATTAAATGAGATGCATAAACATACAACTAAATCAGAAATAGTTGTAACTGCATTTCATAAGCCTCATCAGAATCTCGAAACTGATTTGAAAGGATCATAATAACCATATGTCCTTTAAACTTTTCACCTGGACTTTTGAAAGTGATTGAAAAAAAAGTTATGAATTTGACAGAAACAAATACTACAAAATCAGAGGGCTCCTATGAGAGGAAGGGATTGTGTAAATTAGGGTGCAAGCAAACGAGCTACCAAAAATCCCATGTCGAGTGATAGTCACCAGTCTAAGAACATCGTTGTGCCCTGTTGTTAGAACTTTATAGATATGCATCTTTCTGAGAAACAATTCTGCCCAATACAACTAAACCCTACTCTAACTTGCGGCAGGTACAAGTCCTGAAGGAACTCATACTGTAAGCAACAAAAGTTCTAGAATTGAAAAGTATGACAAAACAGAGCTACATCTCTCTGATAATGAGCATATCCCCCTCCTATGATAACAAGTACCAGATCCATATTACACAATTGCATCATCATATTTGAGGACTTGTGTTTATTATCATGACACCATAATTAAGATGTCTAAAGCAGTAATTAATAAGCCAGTAGATTTTCAGCATCTTGAAATTCCAAGAACAAAAATAAATGGACTTAAACTTAATAGAGAAGGATAAGACTATGTCTGAATAGATACCATCCTCTTCAGCAGCAACACTAGAGCAACATAAGTTCTCTAATCAATCAGAACCCAAGTTCTACACTATTTCACCCCATCAGTCTCTCGACATCACAAGATGATCACCACATTACTCCATACATGCAATGATTCATTTGCATGATAATAGTTAAGTAATTTAACCTATTACAAATGTAATCAAGGATTCTCCGACAATAAAGCAAGCCCATTCATTGCATAGATGTTGGTTTGACAACATGGAGACTCTGAATGATTTGGATTGGGGATTCTTCTTTTTTACGGTTGTCCACTGTATTTATTGATCATATTATGCATATGATATCTCAATTGCTCAAATGATTTTGTCGCCTTCCTCTCCAAGTGTACTAGGAATTTTAGTGATAGGGAGACGCATGAATTTCATTCTTCAATTTCTTTGCTTCATAAGTGTTCTATAAATCTTGTGTCTTCTGACAGAAAATTCATTTGCTGATCCATCTGTGTTGTTCTTTTGCAAATCTTCTGTCGAGTCCTAGATTGTTAAATCCTTCAATTCCAATTATTCCTCCACTTTTGATGAATTGGAAGGCCAGATGTGCCTATTAACTTTCAGGTGTCGCATGTACAATTGCTCGTAGTAGGTGGGCTATGTGCCGAAGGGAGAGAAAAGCATCGATCACATTTTTCTTCATTGTCCGGACTCCGGAGGCTTTCAGGTTGTGGTGGAAGTTATTCCAATTAGCAGCTTTGAGTTGGATGATTCCCACGCACCCCACTCTATTTGTAAGAAGACTTATGGAAGAGATTAAAAAACACTCACTTTTTGGAATTGTAGAATTTTTGCATTAACTTCTAGGTTCTTTGATTAGAACGTAATGCTAGAGTTTTCTATGAAGGAAGTGAGCTTTGTGAATTGCTTATGGGATAGAGTTTATTTTTTGACAACTTTGTGAGCTTTGGGGACCAGGGAGTTTGATGGCCTTCCCCCTCTCTATCTTATGATGACTGGAGATCATTGTGTAGCTTAAAATCTTACTTTGGTATGTTTTTTTTCTGTCACAAGGATCTTTGGTAGGAGGCCGTGTCCTGCACTGTATCCTTTTTTGTACCCTTCCCCCCCCCAAAAAAAAAAAAAAAAAAATTTCTCATCTCTCTACTAAGAAAAGTTTGTTGCTTATAAAGGAAAAATAATTGATTCAATCAACATAATCCAATAAACAAGCATTACTTATCAATCTGTAAAGTACGTATTGAAGAATCAACAGCAAAATAGAATCCATCTTGTGATTCTAAGCTATTCTCGTTGTTAAGAGACTTTCCGTTCCACCGTAACTGCCGGCCTTCTTGCAAAAGTTCTTGGAGATTGGCTTTTATTTTGTTAAAGAACCACATGCTTCCTAAAACATTACTTGCAAGAGTTGCTTAAGTTGAGGAAATTCAATAATTAGAATGAGAAGGAAAATATAGTACATGCTTAAGCAGAAAGTACTGTCAGACTATGTTACAAAATTTTGCTGACAATAATGTAATTCACAGGAATCTGGACAACCATCAGCAATGCAAAGTGTAAATAAATAGTACATGATACACTTGGCTAAATTCAAGATTAAGGAAAATGTTGCTGCAACATGATGCTATAAAGTAATTAACATATGACAATTCAAAGAATTAGCATTATCACACTAAGAGGCAGATAGCATTCAAGGATAAAAGGTGTATTAATGCTCAAAAGATGTCTGTCCAAATCGGACATTTTGGTCAACTAAATGCATGTTTTACAGCATCCAAGTCAGAGCAAAGAAGACCTTGCTAATATCTGTTGTAGATCCCATAAAAAAAATTGGTAAATGTTAAGAATATTAGGGTAGTATGTGTAAATTGTTAATAGTAAGAGGGTGTATGTGTAATTCTTATTATTGTGAGTTAACTATAAATACAAGTGATGTATGAGAGCTAAGTTAAGTTTTTAACCTCTCTCTGTTTCTCTCTAATATCATGTTAATCATCTATACTTAACATGGTATCAGAGCAATTTCGATCATAAATATATTTTGAATAAATTAACTTAGTTCGTGGTGGTGATACTGTTGCTCATCAAAGCCATGGTGGTGGTGGTGGTGGTGGTGGTGGTACCATTGTCGTGATTAATCTCTATGTTGTGGGGGTTGCTGTTGTGGTGATGACAATCGACTTGGTGGTGCTATGTTATGGAGGTGTTACTGTCGTGGTGGTGGCAGTCGACGTTGGTGCAGTCAACTTGGTGGCGTCTTGCTTTGTGGTGGTGTAGTCGATGTTGGTGCAGTCGACTTGGTTGTGCCTGGTTGTTTGTTTCGTGGTTGTGCAGTCAGCGCTGGTGTAGTCAACTTTGGTGCAGAAATTAGGGTTTGGTTGAAACCCTGCTCAGTGAAGAAGACGAAGATTCAAGTGGGTCAATTTTCGAGTAACGAATCCAAGTCCACGGGCATAACTATTCTTAAGCCCAAATCCAGATCCAAACCAGGATCCAGATACCGCCCCGGATCCAAGACCCAGGAGACTTAGTGCGGATCAAGTAGCCTTCAGACTAGACTGGTCCAAGTTCGGCTCAAACCCAGTTTAACCCTGGTTTGATCCAAACTAAGCCGGTTCAGATAGCTCTTCGCCGGTTCAAACCGATTCCTTTAGTCTTATGCTCTGGTTCAATGGTCTAGTTCAGTTGTTGCTCCGGTTCATTGATCCAGTGA